CAAGGCTAGTGCTCTACCACTTGAGCCACAGCGCCACTTCCAGCTTTTTTTTTTTTTTCTGCTTATGTGGTGCTGAGGAATGGAATCCAGGCCTTATGTATGCAAGGCAAGCACTCTACCACTGAGCCACCTTCCCAGCCTCCTAAGAGATTCTTAGCTCCAATTAACCACCAAAAAAGCCAGAAGTGGAGCTGTGACTCAAGTGACAGGGCACTAGCCTTGAGCAAAAAAACTCCCAGACAGCTCCCAGGCCCTAAGTTTAAGCTCCATAACCAACACACACACACACACACACACACACACAGTGGTTAAAAATAAAAGAACTGGGCGCCCGTGTCTCACGCCTGTAATCCTAGCTACTCAGGAGGCTGAGATATAAGGATTGCAGTTCAAAGCCAGCCAGGGCAGAAAAGGCCATGAGACTCTTATCTCCAATAAACCACTCAGAAAACTGAAAGTGGAGCTGTGGCTCCAGTGGTAGAGTGCTAGCCTTGAGCTGAAGAGCTGAGGGAAAGCACCCAGGCCCAGAGTTCAAGCCCCATGACTGAACAAACAAACAAATAAATAAATAAAAATAAAGGGAAGGCTGGCCATTGGTGGTGCATGCCTTTAATTCTATCTACCCAGAATGCTGAGATCTAAGGATAGAGGTTTAAAGCCAGCCCAGTCAGAAAAGTCCATGTGACTCTTATCTCCAAGTAACCATCAAAAAAGCTGGAAGTGGAGCTGTGGCTCAAGTGGTAGGACTCCAGCCTTGAGTAAAAAATTCAAGGGACAGTGTGAGGATCAGTTCAAGCCTCAGTATTGGAACTAACTTGATGGAAAGACTGGTTTTGAGTGTTTAAAGGGAAGGAAGTTTTTTATCATCTGGAAAATATTTGCATATGGAATCATTCTCTTTGCATAGAGGGAAATAATTGCTCTTTTTGGAAACTGATGTTGGTGGAAGGGGGTCACAAGTGATTTGCTTTTTTTTTTTTTTTTTTGGTCATGGGTCTACCCCGGACTCTTTTGCTCAAGGCTAGTGTTCTACCACTTTGAGTCACAGCTCCACTTCCAGTTTGAAGATGAGGCTGGCTTTGAACTACAATCCTCAGATCTCAGCCTCCTGAGTAACTAGGATTGCAAGTGTGAACCACCAGTGCCAGCCTTGTTTTGCTTCTTTCTGTAATAAGAAATGACCTCAAAGGACGGGAGTCCAAACCCAGGGAGAGAGAGACACAGTGGGCTGGGGAGATACAAAACACCTGGCAGTCATCTTTTGGTCATCTTGATGACTTTGTCTTTTCTGTCTTCTACCTTGGGGGGTACATTTAGAGATTTACTCTTGTGCCCTCACTAGCAGGCTCACCCAGCCCTTTTCCTGAGTGATATCTGCCCCCAACATCTCTTCCCCACCTGGCCTTGGACTAAGCCAGCATTCCACAACATGAAGCCAGCCGGATCCCTTATGGTGTGACAACATGGGTCAGCTACTAAGAATGAGCCTTGATTGGTTGGTTCACTGTGTTCTACATGCTGTCGGTGTCCTAGGGCTTTTCCTTTGTGAACCCACTTCATACATGCAATGATCCTATCTGGTGGGTGCTGTGATCCTCAGCCCACTTCACAGAAGAGAAAACCAAGGCATTTTGGGCTTAACCAACAAGAGGGCAAAACTCAAGCAGCCAGTGTCAAGGCCTGTGGGCACCATTGCCCAGCCAGGTGCTCTTGGTCCTTTCGTGCAAGGCTATGAGCCCAGCATCCCTCCACCAAACTATCTGTTGTCAGATGGACACAGGGACTTGTGGTATCCCTGAGGTCCACCATGGGTTGGAGGGACAAAAGCTATCACATTTTGCTGGGGGGGGGGGATGACTGGGAGGACGGCTGAGGAAAATCAGGGCCTACCTTTTCCCTGGAGAGACCTCAGCTGGATGGAATCTGTCTATATTTAGCAGGTGGCTGGCAGGAGGCAGATAAGCAGAGCTGAGGGGGGAGGTCCTCATATATAATGGAGAGGGCAAGACCCCGCTCAGTCTTTCATTGGGTGGCCCCTGCCTGCTCGGTGCTTCGTGTGATCTCTCTCAAAATGCCTGAGCCCGGGAAAAAGCCAGGTAATTCCAGGCCCAGGGCTGGGCTGGGAATATGGGTGGGTGGGGAGGTTGCATAGCTAGGGGCCAAGGCTGAGGAGAGTTCTCAAAGGGGCTTGGTTATTTTATTTTATTTTTTTTCCCAGTACTTAGGCCTGAACTCAGGGCCTGGGTGCTTTCCCTTTGCTTTTTCCCTCCCAGCGAGTGCTCCACCTCTTGAGCTACAGCTCCACGTCTTGCTTTCTGGTGGTTAATTGGAGATAAAAGTCTCACAGATTTTTCTTCTTGGGTTGTCTTCAAAATCTTGCTTGATCCTCAGCTCTCCTGAATTGTTAGGATTACAGGAGTGAGCTACCAGCCCCCAGCTCCTTGGTCTTCCTTTTTTCCTTCTCTTCCTCCCTTCCTTTCTCTCTCTCTCTCTTTCTCTCTCTCTCTCTTTTCTTTTATTTCCTCACTCAGTTTCTTTTCCTATCTCTCTCTCTGATGAGGCCAAAGGTAAACCCAGTGTCAGGACAGCACCAACGCCAGACGCACCCAGGCCAACACCACATTCTCAGAATGCAAGGGGTTCCTTCCTACCAATCTCCATCTTCTACAGCCAGAGTGACTCCAGATAGAGTCCCAGGATTACACGACTGAGTGGGCTGATGCTCCTGCCCTCTCTGGGTCTTGGTTTCTCCATCTTTCCAGGCCTGGGTGGGATAGCTCCTTCCGGCTGTGACGTTGTCTGCTTCCTGGTCTGTATCATTTGGGTGGTTAGGTATGAACTCCACTTGAAGGTGACAAAGCTCCTCTTCTCTGGGAGACAAAGGTCAAGAGGCTTGGAGCCCATGTGAAGGGCAGGGAAGAACCACAGCCCGGAGGCTGGACCTGGCTATGCCCTTGCGAAGGTTGTTCAAGGCACAGATCCAAGTTCCTCCACCCAACCCCCTCCCCGGCCAGCTTTATCTCAGCTGCTGATTGTCAGCCCCAGGCCCTCGGAGGACAAATTTAGCCACATTCCAAGTAGGCAGAGTACCTGCCCGCTGCAAGGGCCCAGTGCGTGGAGGGGGTGGGGGTGGGGTGGGAGGCTGGGCTCATCATTGGTGGCTTTAGGCCCTGAGGAACCAGGGGACATACCTAGCATAAGTCCATGTAGAATTGCTGAGTGTTGATGGCTCAAACCTATCATCCTAGCTATTTAGGAGGATGAGATATGAGGATCATGATTTGAAGCTAGCCTGAGCAAACAAATCTGAGACGCTTATCTCTAACCAGCAAAAAAAATCTGGAATTGAAGATGTGGTTCAAGGATAGATCACCTAACTGTGATCAAGAAAGCCAAGCAATAATTATAACCCTTCTGTACACCACCTTTATAATAACAATAAAAAATTCTTAAAGGGCTGGGAAGGTGGCTCAGTGGTAGAGCGCTTGTCTTGCAAGCCTGAGGCTCTGGGTTCGATTCCTCAGCACCACATAAGCAAAAAGAAAAAAGCCGGAAGTGGCCTTGTGGCTCAAGTGGTAGAGCGCTAGCCTTGAGCTGAAGAGCTGGGGGACAGCGCCCAGGCCCAGAGTTCAGGCCCCACAACCGGACCCCCCAAAAAAAAATTCTTAAAAAAGAAAGGCCAGGCACTGGTGGCTCACACCTATAATCCTAGCTACTTAGGAGGCTGAGATCTGAGGATCATGGTTCAAAGTCACCCCGGGAAGGAAAGTCCAGGAGACTCTTATCTCCAATGAACCACCAGAACACGGGAAGTGATGCTGTGGCTCAAGTGGTAGAGCACTAGCCTTGAGCTGAAGAGCTCAGGGACAGTGCTCAGGCCCAGAGTTCAAGCCCCAAGACAGACCAAAAAGAGAGAGAGAGAAAAAGAAAGAAAGTTAAACAAGAGCTAAGAAAGGCTCAAGTTCAAGCCTCAATACTGATATTAAAAAAAAAAAAGCTATATGGAAGTTAGGACCATAACTGTTCACCTATGAGCTGTGTGTGTGTGTGTGTGTGTGTGTGTGTGTGTGTGTGTGTGTATTGCCAGCTCTTGGGTTTGAACTCAGGGCCTGGGCACTGTTCCTGAGCTTCTTTTGCTTAAGGTTAGCACTCTGCCACTTGAGCCACAGTGCCACTTCGGCTTTTTCTGTGTATATGGTACTGAGGAATCTAACCTGTGGCTTTGTGCATGCTAGGCAAGCACTCTACCACTAAGCCACCTTCCCAGCTCAGCTGTGTGGTCTTAAACAAATAGCTTAGCCTTTCTGGTCTCTGAGAAAAGAACAAAACAATTGCTCCTGTTGAACAGTATCAGCTGAATAAACAAGGTGATACATGGAACGTGCTTCTTACAGTGTTTATAAGAGGGGCTGCAGGGGTGGGGTGCATGGGAGAACCAAAGGTCCCTACAGCCTCCATCTGGCCCTACAGTGTCAGCCTTTAGCAAGAAGCCTCGGTCAGTGGAGGTGGCCGTGGGGAGCCAGGCTGTGTTTGAGGCGGAGACAGAGCGGGCCGGGGTGAAGGTGCGCTGGCAGCGGGAAGGCAGTGACATCAGCGCCAGCGACAAGTATGGCCTGGCGACTGAGGGCCGGCGGCACACACTGACGGTGCAGGATGTGGGCACTGCGGATCAGGGCTCCTACGCAGTCATCGCAGGCTCCTCCAAGGTCAAGTTTGACCTCAAGGTCACAGAGGCAGGTGAGCGCTTGGCCAGCCTTCTCTGAGGCTTGAGCTTGGACACAGGCAGCCCAGCTGGTCCGATCTTGGGAACAGGAGATGTACTGAGTTCTCTCCCTTTTGCCCCAGTTGTGCCCCCCCTTGCCAGAAACCCCCTCTCCCCTCTTCATGCCCTTCCCTGGCCGGTTCCTGCCATTGTGGAGGTGAGAAAATACAGAGATGAGCTTGGCACAGCTGCCGCCCACCGGAGCCCCCAGGGCGCGGGCCACACGGCAGTGAGGGGGCGGGCTACGTGCGTTGGCAGGGCGGCCTGGGCGGCTGTGGGGGACCAGAGCCCAGTTTAGCTTTGGGGGTGGGGGTTGGGCGAGGCCAGGGCATGGGGGAAGGAGAAACAGATGGATCTCAGAGCTGCTTCGGGCAGTCACCTGGACATAGGGACAGAAGGATTGTGGGGGCCAGAAGGGGAAAATGCAGGCTAACACCCCTACTCAGCGGGAGCCACCTCTAAGGGGGCCCCGGGGACCAGGAGGATGTGTCTGGAAGAAACTTGGACACCTTCATCCCAGTAAGATGCCCCCTGGGAGTCGGGTACAGGGGGCTGATGCCCAGGAGAGAGAGAGGGAGGGTGGAGGAGAGGAGGGGGGGGTTCTCTGATTAGAAACCCTACCCCTACCCCAGCCCCTCCAGAGAAGGCAGAGCCTGGGCCAGCCTCAGCCCCTGCTGAGGCCTCAGGAGCCCCCGGAAAACCTCCATCTTCCACTGAGCTGGAATCAAGCACCCAAAGTTCAGAAGGTGAGGGGGGCTGGGCAGGGAGGGACAAGGTCTCTTGGGAGGAGTTGCTCTGGTGCAGGTCTTTAAGATCTTCATTCACAGGATCCAGCTCAGCCGCCCCCAATGGCCCTGGACCTGGGGGCCCTACAGCCCCCGAGGATCCCATTGGCCTCTTCCTGATGAGGCCTCAGGATGGTGAGGTGACCGTGGGTGAGTAGGGGTTGCTGATTCCAGGGGTGGTATAGGAAGAGAGGCAGCAGAGCGACCCCAGCCCTACCTGACACCCCTCCCCCGCTCCCCCCAGGTGGCAGCATCACTTTCTCAGCCCGCGTGGCTGGTGCCAGCCTCTTGAAACCACCAGTGGTCAAATGGTTCAAGGGCAAGTGGGTGGACCTGAGCAGCAAGGTGGGTCAGCACCTGCAGCTGCAGGACAGCTACGACCGGGCCAGCAAGGTGAGCCTGGCATCTGGGGGATCTGGAGAGATGGAAAGACCCCGGGAAGCACAGGAGCTGCACAGAGGGGCTTATTAAGGAAGGCCTTGAAGGATGTGAGGGTGTCAAGGGGTCTTAAGGTCGAGGGGCCCAAGGATCCCAGAAAGCACAGGGAACACCATATAATGAGGTGGTCAGATTCTGGATGGATGGAAATCAGCAGGCAGGAGACTTGCAGGGATCCCACAGTTCCTCTCGGCACAGATCAAGAAGCCAAAGCTTGCAAGGTGAATTGGCTGTTCCAAGGTCACTCCAAGCCAGGCCTAGAACCAGAAACCCCTGTGTCTTGACTGTCAGCTGTTGCAAACTTCTAATCTTCCACAGTCCTGGGCCAGATACAGAAGTCCCTAGCAGAACCGAGCAAGTGTGCGGATGCACAGGTGTACAAAGCCACATTATTTTACTTCATTTTGTCACTCGTGGGGCTCAGTCAGGAACTTGGGGCCTATCCCTGAGCTCTTTTGCTCAATGCTGGCACTCTACCACTTTGAGCCACAGCTCTGCTTTTGGTTTTCTGGTGGCTAATTGGAGATAAGAATCTCATGGACTTTCCTGCCCAGGCTGCCTTTGAACCATGATCCTGGGATCTCAGCCTCCCGAGTATTATAGGATTACAGGCATGAGCCACTAGCACCTAGCTTCGCAGCCTTACATTAAGTGGATACCGTTCGCCCTGTGGTCTCTCCTTTAGGGATGAAGGGCCTCCCCACCTTAGTCTCCTCTGACCCCCCCCCCCCCCATAGGTCTATCAGTTCGAGCTCCGGATCACCGATGCTCAGGTCACCTCTGCAGGGGGCTACCGCTGCGAGGTGTCCACCAAGGACAAATTTGACAGCTGCAACTTCAACCTTACTGTCCATGGTGAGGGAGTCCCCCACCCCACCCCCAGGTCTGTCCCAGGCTCATGGTTCCTATAGGTCTTGATCTCTGGAGCCTGCTTCCATCTCCCAACACAAAGGCCCTGGCTAGATAATCAGTGCTGACCTGTAACAGTGCTTCTCAAACAGGGCTTAGTACCAAGTCAGGATCTCACCTAGAGTTGGACTTGCGTTAGTCGATCCACCCTGCTGTCCCTGCCTCCCGGCATAGGTCCTGACACACCCCACTGTAGGTGAGCTGAGAGACAAGCTGAGAGACCATGGCAGGGGGTTGGAGATGGGGAGCTACTAGTCTGGGCCATGATAGGATAAGAAGATGGGGTCCCGGGGCAAGTGCTCACCCTCATGGAATTATGGGTGGGCTTTTAGAAGTCCAGAGAACCCAGAACAGAGGTTCCTTCTGAAAACCTCTCCTTCTCCCTCTCTCTTAATGACCCCAGAGGCCGTTGGTCCTGGAGAGCTGGACCTGCGATCAGCTTTCCGCCGCCCGTGAGTTCCCCTTCTCTTCAGGGTTGGGGACGCACAGAGAGCGGGGTTGAAGTCTAGGTTGGGGAGAGTAAGCGCTTCCAAGCAAGTAAGGATAATTCCTAACCCCTACAGGAGCGTGGCTGGAGCAGGTCGGAGAACCAGGTAGCCCTTCCCAGGCCCCTCGCAGCCCTGTACTCAGATCCTAGGGCTTGGGATGGATGGGCGCCCAGCTGGGGTGCTGTCCCTCCACCCCCACCTTCCACTCCAGCTCACTTGGCAAGTCCCTTCCCGCCCCCTTCACCCCAGCCTCACCACGCCCCTCTCTGTAGTGACAGCCACGAAGACACTGGGACTCTGGACTTCAGCTCCCTGCTGAAGAAAAGGTGAGGCCCGGCAGCATCCTCCAGGGCAGGGAGTGAGGCTGTTTCAAATCCTGGCACTGTAGTTTCCCAGCTGTGTGGCCCTGAGCGAGTCACTGAGCCTCTCTGAGCAGGTTTCCTTGTCTGGCAGTTGTGGGCAAAGTTAAGGACTCTGCAGACATGACTTCCTGTGTACATCCATTCCGTGTCCCCCTACCCCCCACCCCCGGCACACCACAGAGAGCCCACAGTAGCTCGCTCTAATAGATTCCTGCCCTCCCCAAAGAAGCTGAGGGTGGATCCCCAAAGTTGCAGGAACTCTTCACCCCACCCGATCCTCCTGACTCGAAATCTCTATCTTCTCCCTCTCTCTCCTGACCTCTCCTCACGGCGATGCTGCTGATGCCTAGAGAGTAAGGAATGGGGGTGGGGTGGGGCTGGGGGGCTTGGGGCACAAGGCACTGGAAGGGACAGAGCTGACCTGTGGAGACTGGTGCCCATCCCTGCCAGGGCTTGGTGAGCCCAGGTGAGACTCCCCACGGCTGAGGTGAGTCTCTGAACCTTGGGGGGTAACTCCCCACACACCCACATTTAGCTGTTGGTTTGAACTCGGGAGGGACAGCAAATTCAGCACATTTTTCCTGCCCTGGCCTCTTGGGCATTACAGGTGCTCAGTACATGTCGGGGTGCTGGGACACAGAAGGGAGGTACCCAGACCTCTAATGTGTTCTCTACCCTTTCTGCCCTGCCTGGAGCAGCAGTTTCCGGACCCCACGGTGAGTGCCATCACCCACCCTCCCCTCCTTCAGCCCGGAGCCCCCCCCAGCCCCTAGGTCCCCTGCCCTGTTCCCAGAAGGGAAGGGCAGACTGCAGGAGAGCCTCTGCTCCTTGATGTCGGGCCCAGGAAGTGCCACTGGGAAGGGGAGAGGAAGGGGCTGCTCTGAGCGTCCACATGGGCTGGGGGGCACACAGGGACTCAAAGCTGGAGGCACCTGTGGAGGAGGATGTGTGGGAGATCCTGCGGCATGCACCCCCATCCGAGTATGAGCGCATCGCCTTCCAGCATGGGGTCACTGACCTGCGGGGCATGCTCAAGAGGCTCAAAGGCATGAAGCGAGACGAGAAGAAGAGCACAGGTTAGCCCTGCACCCACATGGGAAAGAAAAGGGCACAGGTTAGCCCTGACACTCCCCCCCCCACACACACACGGAAAAAGAAGAATCCAGCTCAGCCCAGACACACATTGGAAAGAAGAGCCCAGACGAACTGCCACACCCCCCCAACTTGTGTTGAGAAAACCACAAGAGCACAGTGTGAGCCCCTTTCCATGGACAGAAACTGAGAAGAGATAGGTTAGCCCAGAGACAACCATGAAGAGAAGGACAGAGGACAAGAAAACTCTCCTCAGAGAAGAAAAATCAGGCCACTCCCTTTTCTAAAAAGTAAAAGAAGCCTGACTCCCCATCTCCCCATCCCAAAGAAGGAGGGAAAAACTCGGGGAGCCACACCAGGGTGGGGGTGGGGGTGGGAAGAGAAGCGGGGCTAGCTCACCTTCCACTGGGTTAGCTTCCCTCACCTGTAGGCAGGTGAAAGGAGAAGGGCCTAGGCTAGCCCTTTCCCATGTAGAACGGGATATGAGTCAGGGAGAGTGATGGCCATGCCTGGTACGCACAGCCGTGTCTTGAGAGTTTAGCATGGTGCCTGGCACACAGCAAGGGTTCCAGAACTTTGACCCACTGGAGGGATTAGCTTCCAGAGAGGAGGGTGGGGGCGGGGGCCTCTCCCCCAAATTTCCAAACCTTTTATGCTCATGTGGAAGAGCAGAAGAGCCAGTTCCTCTCTCCCCCATCCCGGACTCAACCCAGTTGCTAGATGGCCCAGCCCTGGTGCCCACTGAAATCAAGTCTCCAGGTCACAATGAAATCTCTGAATTTCTGGGCCAGAAGGCACCCAAAGGCCTGCGGGTGATAGGAGGAGCCTTTGGGGGGTGGAGACAAGGCTCCATCTTGTCACAGTAGCCATCGGAAGCAGCGACTAAGCCAAGCACTGTGCTTTGTATCATTGTCTCGCTGAATTCCCAGCACCACCTTGAGGTAGTGATCATTACCATTTCTCATTTGGCAAGCAAGGAAGCAGAGACACCCAGAGGTTAGTTAAGGAATGAGCCCGAAGGTCCCAGAGCACCAGGCAGTAGTTCTTTGCATCTCTGCAGCTGCTCCAGGTCCAGCTAGAACATGGGCAGCCTTTAGGGGTCCTTCTGCCCCAAGGAACATAAGACAGAGCGGGGGGGGGGAGGAGATAGACAGACAGACCAGACAGAGAAGGGAACGGGGCCCCAATAGAAACAGAGGCGGACAGGTAGGCACGGGAGGGCTGGTTGGGGGAGGACATGCCACGGTCACCATGGCCAGGCGTGGCAGGGCAGGGTATGAGGCGTGGACCTCAGGGCTGCTGTGAGCTGTGGGACGGTGCGCAGCCTTTCAGAAGAAGCTGGAGCCAGCCTACCAGGTGAGCAAGGGCCACAAGATCCGGCTGACCGTGGAGCTGGCTGACCCTGATGCCGAGGTCAAGTGGCTGAAGAACGGACAGGAGGTCCAGATGAGTGGCAGGTCGGTGAGGGTAGGGAGGGCCCTGGAGAGCTGGAGGGGTGAGGAGGGCTGGTCTCACTGCCCCTCCCTCCCTATGGGTCTCTTTGTGGCATCTCTCCCCATTTCTCCCTGTCCCTGGGGTCTGCTTCTCCACCACCCCGATCCTCATGATCTGTTTCTCCATCTCTTGGTCTTCATTTCTTCCTGTGGGAAACCATCCAATGGTTACGGTTCTGCAGCAAGTGAGCCCCCCCCCTGCCTGGGACTGCCTGGGGGTTGGGGGCCTGGGGATTGTGTTGGCTCACGCAGCCTGGGAAGGGGGTCCACAACCTGACAGCCTCCATGGCCCCACCAGGTACATCTTCGAATCCATCGGCACCAAACGCACTTTGACCATCAGCCAGTGCTCGCTGGCGGACGATGCAGCCTACCAGTGCGTGGTGGGTGGCGAAAAATGCAGCACTGAGCTCTTTGTCAAAGGTGGGCTGGGGATCTGGGGACCCGGGGGCCCAGAAAGGGGGGAAAGGGGGCAGCCACAGAAAGCCGCCCTTACGCTGTGCCTGCCCCCGGACAGAGCCCCCGGTGCTGATCACACGTCCCCTGGAAGACCAGCTGGTGATGGTGGGACAGCGGGTGGAGTTTGAGTGTGAAGTGTCTGAAGAGGGGGCCCAGGTCAAATGGTGAGTGCCTGGGTATGGGGGTGCAGGGCAGACCTGGGGTGCAAGGACATCAGCCTGTAGGCGATCACAGTCCTTGCTGACTGCTTTCTGATCAGGCTGAAAGATGGGGTTGAGCTGACCCGGGAAGAGACCTTCAAATATCGGTTTAAGAAGGACGGGCGGAAACACCACCTGATCATCAACGAGGCGACACTGGAGGACGCCGGGCACTATGCGCTGCGTACTAGTGGGGGCCAGGCACTGGCTGAGCTCATAGTGCAAGGTGAGGTCCACTGGTGGGCTGGGGTCCCTCAGAGAACCATGCCCAGCATGTGGAGGCAAAGCTGGATCAAAGCTGGTGCAACCTGGAATGCCCGAGCCTCACTTTTCCCATCTGTAAAATGGGAAAGTTGAAGTGATTTCTTTAAAGAGTGCTAGAGGGTCAGATAGGCCTGGTTAGCATCAACACCCCCCCCCACACACACACCAGAATATTGGTGTATACCATCACAGGCACGTGTGTTTTCAAATGCCCACACCTACCCAGCCATCCCCGGCTTGCCCACACGTCCTTGCCCACAAGGACCCACAATCACACCCTTAGGAGCTCATTGGCTCTGTCCATCCTCCAGAGAAAAAGCTGGAAGTGTACCAGAGCATCGCGGACCTGGCGGTGGGTGCCAAGGACCAGGCCGTGTTCAAGTGTGAAGTGTCAGATGAGAATGTGCGGGGCGTGTGGCTGAAGAACGGGAAAGAGCTGGTGCCGGACGGACGCATCAAAGTGTCCCACATTGGGCGGTGAGCGGAAAGTGTGGCAGAGAGAGACCCAGAGACAGAGAGGGAGAGGGACAGACAGACAGAGGAGAGAGAGGCAGCACGGACTGAGACTGAGAGAGAAAAAGACAGGCAAGAAGGCAGAAATAAGAGACCCAAAGATATGGGAAGAGATTTTAAAAATGTAGAGGGAGAGGTCACCTGAAACAAGGAATCCAGGACACTCAGGGCCAGACATCCCCTCCCCCCCTCTCCCCATCACCAGGCACAGGAGGCTGCGGGGGAGGTAGCTCTGGCCACAGATCACCCTGGAGCTCCTGGGCTGGCCATGCTGGACCTGAGTTCATGGAGATTACTGAGGGCAGTCTTGTCCAGGCTCCAAGGGGCCGATGCCAAACACCACTTTCTATACTACCTTGCTGGAAAACACCATAAAGAAGCCATTTTTAAATGCAAGAACACCAAGGAGCCAGGTGCTGGTGGCTCACACCTGTAATTCTAGCTACGCAGGAGGCTGAGACCTGAGGATCACAGTTCAAAGCCAGCCCAGGCAGGAAATTCCCTGAGAATCTTATGTCCAATTAGCCACAGAAAACTGGAAGTGGCACGATGGCTCAAAGTGGTAGAGTCAGAGACAGTGCCCAAGCCCCGAGTTCAAACCCCATGACCAACAAAAACAACAACAACATACCACCACCAACAATAACAACAGCAAAAACACCACCAAGGAGCCAGGACAGGCTTGTAACCTTAGCTCGAGTGTCCAGCGAGGCCAGAGCTGTATGGCCCAGTAGGGTCCCTGAGCCATAGCTACCTGCAGGGTCCACAAACTGACCATTGATGATGTCACACCTGAAGATGAAGCCGACTACAGCTTTGTGCCCGAGGGCTTTGCCTGCAACCTGTCGGCCAAGCTCCACTTCATGGGTGAGATGGCGCTGAGGGAGGTGGAGCCGGGGGGGGGGGCTGGGCCCTCCTGGGACAGAGCCCCCCTGAGACTGGGCCATGCTTCTGCTCTGGTGTCACTTCTCTTCCCTCTCTTACAGAGGTCAAGATTGACTTCGTGCCCAGGCAAGGTGAGTGTCAGGACCCCTATATGCCACCTCAGCTTTGCCCAGTACATTGCACCCCAACTTCAGACAAGTCTCCCCTCTGCTCCTGTCACAGGGAAGAGCAACGATCCTGGCGGGGTGGGGGGCAGAGGCCCCCCTGCTCCAGTTCTGTTACCCACAACTCATTGTGGGACAAATATAATCTGCCTGAGTTTCCCTGCCCCCCCCTCTTTTACCAGCCCAGGGGCTTAAACTCAGGGCCTGAGTACTGTCCCTGAGCTTCTTTGTGCTCAAGGTTAGCACTCTACCACTTGAGTCATAGTGCCACTTCCGGCTTTTTCTTAGTAGTTTATTGGAGATAAGAGTCGTTGTTTTTTGTTTTTTTTTTGGGTCGGATCGTGGGGCCTGAACTCTGGGCCTGGGCACTGTCCCTCAGCTCTTCAGCTCAAGGCTAGCGCTCTACCACTTGAGCCCAGCACCACTTCCGGCTTTTTTTCTTTTTGCTTATGTGATGCTGAGGAATCGAACCCAGGGCCTCATGCATGCAAGGCAAGCGCTCTACCACTGAGCCACCTTCCCAGCCCCTGGAGATAAGAGTCTTACAGACTTTCTTTCCCAGGCTGGCTTCAAACCACCATCCTCAGATCTCATCCTTCTAAGTAGCAAGGATTACAGGTGTGAGCCACTGGCGCCTGGCCAGTTTCCCCATTTCTAAAATGAGGCTGCTGATAGTGCATCCTCCATACAGTGGTCATGGAGATGAAGGGTGTGAAATGTCACAGATCTGAGGTTTTATTGCTATACCTTTCCTGCTTGAAAAAAAATGGACTGATTTTTTTTTTTTTTTTGGTGCCAGTACTGTGGCCTGAACTCAGGGCCTGGGTGCTGGTCCTTAAGTTTTTTTTCTACCTAAGTCTCTACCATGTGAGCCACAGCTCCATTCACAGCTTTTTGATGGTGCATGGAAATGAGTTTCAGGGACTTTCCTGCCTGGGCTGTCTTCCAACCTCAGTCCTTAGAGCTCAGACTCCTGAGTGACTAGGATTAGTGTCATGAGCCATTGACACTTGGTCTTTTCTGCTTGTAAATTAAATTTTTATCAGACACCTCAGAGTTTTAACTTTAGGAGAACAATCCAGGCTGAGGTCTACTCTGCTTTGTTCATCTTAGGGCTTTCTAAACTGGATTCACTTAACACTAACATCCCATTAAAAAAGTATTCTGGTAGAAGACATTTGGTGTCCCCCAAACGCTGTAGAGAATGCTACATGAGGGGACCCAAATGTTAACAAATCTCCCAAAAAATTCCTGGGTGACTGAAAGTTCTAGCTCTTGTCTGGGTTTGGTAGTTATATGAGCATACATATTTGTCAAAACTCATAAGACTGCCAGGCATGGTGGCATATGCCTGTAATCCCAGCATTTAGAAGGCTCAAAAAACAGAAGGATCAAAAACATTCAAGGCCAGGGATAGAGGCATGACTCAGCAGTAGAATATCTGCCTAGCAATCTCAAGACCTAGAGTTCAAACACTAGTGCTGTTAAAAAAAAAAAAAGTCAGCCAGGGTGATATAGTGAGACCCTGTTTGAAAAAACCCCCAAAATAATTATGTGTGTGTGTGTGTGTGTAGAAAGGGGTGACATTGACCAAGAAGCACTGTAATCATAATCTGACTTAGGAAATTGAAACACCTTTGTATAAATATGATGTAATAATGGGCTGGGAAGGTGGCTCAGTGGTAGAGCACTTGCCTTGCATGCCTGAGACCCTGGGTTTGATTCCTCAGCACCACATAAGCAAAAAGAAAAAAGCCGGAAGTGGCGCTGTGGCTCAAGTGGTAGAGCACTAGCCTTGAGCTGAAGAGCTGAGGGATAGCGCCCAGGCCCAGAGTTTAGGCCCCACGACCGGACCCCCCAAAAATATAAATAAATATATATAATAATAATTAAGCACAAAGCTTAAATTTATATTCCACCATGTATAAATCATAACCTCAAACGGATCATCCAAACACTAGGGGCACTGGTTCCTCTTCTTTGGCCCTTCTCCCCACCCAACCCTGTTCATGGGCCTGGTCTCCTCTTTTTCTGACCTATCTCATCTGTCACTCAGAGCCTCCCAAGATCCACCTGGACTGCCCAGGCCGCACACCAGACACTATTGTGGTGGTGGCAGGGAACAAGCTTCGCCTGGATGTCCCCATCTCTGGGGACCCTGCACCCACTGTCATTTGGCAGAAGACCATCACACAGGTACTGTGGATCTTCCCAGGATGGATGTGTGAGCCCCATGTGAGTACCCCACCTCTCCCCACCCATGCACTACCCCAGCTCCCAGCCACGGGCAGCTCAGAGGCTGTTGGCCAGGAAGGGAGGAAGGCAGACAGCAGGTGGGGCAGGGGGGATGGAAGACGGAGGGACCCCTCCAGGCTGAGTCAGACTCTGCCCAGCTTCCTTCTTTCCCTGGCCCAGCGTAAGAAGACCCCAGTTGGGCCAGCACCTGATGCCCCAGAAGATGCAGATGCCACAGACGAGTGGCAGTTTGATAAGAAGGTGAGTGAGGCTGATGACAAGACACAATTGATTTTCTTTGGCCTTTCTCCCCACGCAGCGTCCACCCCCGGCCAGGCCCCGTGCCCTGCCCCTGATAGGCACCCTCCTGCTCACACCTATAACCTTCACTCAGATGCAGTTTCCCCTGAGCTGTGCGTCCCTTCCTCTCCCTCCCCTTCAGCTGCTGTGCGAGACGGAGGGCAGGGTCCACGTGGAGACCACCAAGGACCGTAGCATCTTCACAGTGGAGGGGGCAGAGAAGGAAGACGAGGGTGTCTACACTGTCACGGTGAAGAACCCTGTGGGCGAAGACCAGGTCAACCTCACAGTCAAGGTCATCGGTGAGGCGGGCAGGGTTCCAGGCTAGAGAAGAACACAGCCAGCACTCCCGGGAGAGATCATACACGTGCTCATTCAGTCCCCGGCAAACCACAGGGCGTGCTCTGAGCCAGCCCGGGAGAATGGGCAGGACAGGCATTTTGTATCTGCAAAGAATCAAGCTATAGGGGGAGAGGGAAGAGGTAGTAATGTCCTTTACTGTGACACAAGGGTTGAGTTGGGGTAGGGCTGCAGTGTCATGTGAGACATTAATCTTTAAAAAAAAAAAAAAAAGCTGGAAATGTTGTAGAGCACTAGCTTTGAGCAAAAATGCTCAAGGACAGTGCCCAGGCCCTGAGTTCAAGCCTCAGGAATGGCACACAGACACAGACACACACACACACACACACACACACACACACACACACAAGTTAAAAGAAATAAAACTCAAAAAGCTGGAAATGGAGGCTCAAGTTGTAGAGCACTAGCCTTGAGCAACAAAGCTCAGGGACAGTGCCCAGGCCCTGAATTCAAGATAGGCATTAATTAATTAAAACAAATAAATTTTAAAAAGCATTCTGTAGGCAGAGGACTGGGTAAAGTGGAAAGAAAGGGGCAGTGGGTGGACTGGGAAGGTGGCTCAGTGGTAGAGCGCTTGCCTTGCATGCCTGAGGCCCTGGGTTCGATTCCTCAGCATCACATAAGCAAAAAGAAAAAAGCCGAAAGTGGCGCTGTGGCTCAAGTGGTAGAGCGCTAGCCTTGAGCTGAAGAGCTGAGGGACAGCGCCCAGGCCCAGAGTTCAGGCCCCATGACCAGACCCCCCCACACCCCCCCACAAAAAAAAACCCAAAAAGAAAACCAAAGGGGCAGTGGGGAGGACCATAAAGGGTTGCGCTCAGGGCCAGGGAGATAGATGATCAGATTCTATAAAGGTCCCTGGCTCTAGGGGTGGGGGTGGGGGCTAGCGTGGAGAGTGGGGGTTGCAGTGTTGGGTGTGGTGAGGGGGTGAGGGGACAAGCCAGAAGGGGCTGACGGCTTCCTCCTCCCTCCAGATGTGCCAGATGCACCTGCAGCCCCCGAGATCAGCAATGTGGGCGAGGACTGCTGCACGGTGCGGTGGGCGCCGCCGGCCTACGACGGGGGACAGCCTGTGCTGGGTGAGAGGCCGGGCTCAGGGCTGGCGCAGGGGCAGCCAGGGCTGGCGGTGCCCGCGGGCCCGGGCCCAGCCCCCAGCTCCCACTCCACTGCCAGGCTACATCTTGGAGCGGAAAAAGAAGAAGAGCTACCGCTGGATGCGCCTCAATTTCGATCTGCTGCGGGAGCTGAGCCACGAGGCAAGGCGCATGATCGAGGGCGTGGCCTATGAGATGCGGGTGTACGCGGTCAACGCCGTGGGCATGTCCAGGCCCAGCGCCCCCTCCCAGTCCTTCATGCCCATCGGTGAGCCCGCTCGTCTGCCCTGCACCCCCCGAGACTCAGGGCTCCCTAATAATAGCTGCCGTTCCAGTTGCCACCCTAGAATCTACATCCCTGGTCTCTAATGCTTGGTCTGTGATAGTTTGCTTTATCTCACAGAAGAAGAAACTGAGGCTGGAAGGCCTTCAGTGACCTGCTTGGGATCATCTAGCTGAGCAACTTTAGTTGCAGTGACCCCATTACCGTGTGACCGTGTGTGTGTGTGTGTGTGTGTGTGTGTACGTGTACAGGGCTTTAACCTCCGGGCCTTAAGCTTGTTTGGTTTACTTGCTGAGCTGACCCTCTACCGTGTAAGCCATACCTCCAGTCCAGCTTTTTTTTGGTTAATAGGAGATGGAATCTTTACAACTTTCTGCCTTTAAACCATGAGCCTTTAGATCTCAGCCTCTTGAGTAGCTAGGAGATGTGAGCCACTAGCACCTGGCTTTTTTTTTTTTTTAATGTCATTTGAAGGTCATGTATAGAGGGGTTACACTTTATTTTATTTTTTATTTATTTATTTTTTTGCTGGATGTGGGGCCTGAAGTCTGGGCCTGGGCGCTGTCCCTCAGCTCTTCAGCTCAAGGCTAGCGCTCTACCACTTGAGCCACGGTGCCGCTTCCAGCCTTTTCTGCTTATGTGGTATTTTTCTTAAATTACATTTACAGCATTTCTTACATTGAGAGGTTTCATGTAAGCTTCATTGTGTTCTCTTGGCTGCCTTTTCCTATGTAGGTCTGTGTGTCGTGTGTGTGTGTGTGTGTGTGTGTGTGTGTGTGTGTGGTGTGTACGCGCGCATGCACACACATGCCAGTACTAGGGCTTTCACTCAGGGCCTAGGTTCTGACCCTGAGCTTTTCAAGGCTTGAGCCCACCCTCTTGAACCACATCTTCACTTGTGGCTTTTTTGGTGGTTAATTAGAGATAGGTGTTTAATGGACTTTTCTTCCTAGGCTGGCTTTGATCCCCGATTCTCAGATCTCAGCCTCCTGAATAGCTAGAATTACAGGCACGAGCCACTGGTGCCCGGCTTTCTTTTGTAACTATTACTGTTTGTAAGTCAGTCTAGACAGATGTCTAAATACAGGCCAGATATTCCTGAAAGTGCTTGAAGGCCAGCCAAAGGGGAAGCTGTCCCTGGGAGACCAGACAGCAATTGAGGGATGGGGAAATGGGTCCCTCAAAACCTCCATGAACCCACTACCAGGTCCTCCCGGGGAACCCACTCACCTGGCCATGGAGGATGTCTCTGATACCACCGTCTCGCTCAAGTGGCGGGCTCCAGAGCGTGTGGGCGCGGGTGGCCTGGATGGCTACAGCGTGGAGTACTGCCAGGAGGGTTGTAAGTGTCCCACCCCCACCCCAGGCCAGCCCCACCCTCTGATGACCTCTGGATATCCTTCAGGAGCTGGGCAGAGAGGTAGGGGGGATGCCAATGACAAAATGTGGCTCCCCTGCCCCTGTGCCCACCGCCAGGCTCCGAATGGGTGGCTGCCCTTCAGGGGCTGACAGAGCGCACGTCACTGCTGGTGAAGGACCTGCCCACCGGGGCCCGGCTGCTGTTCCGTGTGCGGGCACACAATGTGGCTGGGCCTGGAGCCCCCGTCACCACCAAGGAGCCTGTGACAGTGCAGGAGATCCTGCGTGAGTGTCCCCTTGTACAGCCATGACACCTGCCAGTGACCTCCAGACTTTTGGAGCTGACTGGAGGTGGGCACGGTCAGAAAGACCTGGGCTGGGCTACTTGCTAGCTAAGGGCAGGAGGCGTCTGGGATCTCATTCACGTCTACGGTTCTCTTGGTTTTCCCATATTGTTCTCCCAGTTCTGGAACAGGGAAAACATAGTCTGTAGTGTCTGCCCTGTGTTCTGTGAGTCTTGGCTCCAACAGGTGGTCATTGTTCCTCTGTGTCCTCAGAGCCGGGCAGCCAGGCCTCTCGGGGTCAGATAGGGCCACCTGGAGCACCTGGCATTCACTTCCCATTAGCTCAGGATTGGTGATGTAAGGATTGGTCCTCCAGGTTGGAAAGAATCAATAAACCAGTAGAAAGTACATAGGGTCTACATAGTAGAAAGGGCATAGGATCTAGAAGCTTCGTTTTGCAGCCTGGCTTGTAACTTAATCACCTGTGTGGCCTGTATTAGCCAACTGCTTACCCTCTCTGATCCCTGAGACTTAGGAGAAATCAGGAGCTTTCATTAACCATTTGGAGCTGTGCAAATAAGTTGCTGTGGGTAAGTGTGCCAGGCCCAGGGCAGCTTTCTTCTTAGCTGCAGCTCTCTATGCCCTGCTTCAAGAGAGAAAGGAGCTGTGGTACAACTCAGGGCTAAGATTGTGGGGGCCATTGCTCAGTCATCCACTGTACCCACAGAACGACCGCGGCTGCAACTGCCCAGACACTTGCGCCAGACCATTCAGAGAAAGGTGGGAGAGTCTGTGAACCTCCTCATTCCTTTCCAGGTAGGCTGGTCCCTTCCCTGTTGTCAAGGGGAGTGGCTACAGTGGAAGGGTCTGTCTCAGATCTGACCAAACCCCCAACCTCATAGACACACACACACACACACACACACACACAGAGCTAGAGTACCAGCCTGTCTTTAGGGGGAGCTAGGCTCAGGGTAGAGCTATCCTTTCCTGCAGGGCAAGCCTCGGCCTCAAGTGACCTGGACCAAAGAGGGGCAGCCACTGGTGGGAGAGGAGGTGAGCGTCCGCAACAGCTCCACAGACACCATCTTGTTCATCCGCGCTGCCCGCCGCGCCCACTCAGGCACCTATCAGGTGGCAGTACGCATCGAGAACATGGAGGACAAGGCCACGCTGGTCCTGCAGATCGTGGGTACGTGGTTCTGGGCCTTCCTCTGAGTCCACTCATCTCTTGTCCTGGAGCTGGGCTGCTGGGGTCCAAGACCAAGCCTGGGGACCCAACCCAGAGCATCCCATTTCCCAGCCCAGAGCCCCTGCCCAAGGTGGCAGGCCCAGGTCTGGCTGGTTGACTGAGGGGCTCTCAAGGCTGGCACCCTGTTAACCCCCTGCACGAGATGCAACGATCCAATCAGAGATGTCTTCCACAGACAAGCCCAGTCCCCCTCAGGACATTCGGGTCATGGAAGCTTGGGGTTTCAATGTGGCTCTGGAGTGGAAGCCACCCCAAGATGATGGCAACTCAGAGCTCTTGGGTTACACGGTACAGAAGGCTGACAAGAAGACCATGGTGAGCGTAAGGCTGGGCCTTTCGTATGTCCTGTCTACCCTCTGATGATTGGCTTCCTCCATACACAGTAGGGACAGAGGCACCAGGGGTACCAGTGCGGACCCTGGCAGGGGTCCCCAGAGGTTTGCCCTCCTCTCCCCTCCCCTCCTCCAGGAGTGGTTCACCGTGTTGGAGCATTACCGCCGCACCCAGTGTGTGGTGTCAGAGCTCATCATTGGCAATGGTTACTACTTCCGGGTCTTCAGCCATAACATGGTGGGTCCCAGTGACACAGCCACCACCACCAAGGAGCCTGTCTTTATCCCCAGACCGGGTACTATACCTTTCTTCCCATGCCAGGGGAGCTGGGGCAGGGAGGGGAACTTCACTTGAGATGTCTTTCTTGGTACCAAGCTCTATCACCAACAGGCATCACATACGAACCACCCAAATTCAAGGCGCTGGACTTCTCCGAGGCCCCAAGTTTCACCCAGCCACTGGCAAACCGCTCGGTCATCGCTGGCTACACCACTGTCCTTTGCTGCGCTGTCCGGGGCAGCCCCAAGGTAGGGGGCTTTAGGCTCTTGGTGGTGGCAGCTGTCTCTGGGCTCTATCCTGAAGCAGCCTCCCTGCCCCCCACCTCCCAGAGCCTGTCAGCTGCCTCTGCCCCACCTCTGGGTGTCTCCTGAGCTCCTTCCCAGAACAGGGGCCCTGCTTCGGGCATAGTTTTGGACTCCAGTGTGAACTGTGAACCCTGAGTGGAAACACCAGTGCCAGTCTCTCTGGATTCCTGCCAGGTCCCCCTCACCTGAGCCGCTTTGTCTTGCTCTTTCCATTACCTGACTTATAGCCCAAGATTTCCTGGTTCAAGAACGGCCTGGACCTGGGAGAAGATGCCCGCTTCCGCATGTTCAGCAAGCAGGGGGTGCTGACCCTGGAGATCCGGAAGCCCTGTCCCTTTGATGGAGGCATCTATGTCTGCAGAGCCACCAACTTGCAGGGCGAGGCGGAGTGTGAGTGCCGCCTGGAGGTGCGAGGTGAGGCTCTGGCTAGGCCAGGGTTCAGAGGGAGAACAGGGTGTGGCTCTGTCACACTAGCCCTGTGCTGTCTGATGGGTCTGGGTCCTGGCTTCTGGAAGACTCTCAACAAATGTCGTGGCCTCCTTTCTTCCTCTAGTGCCTCAGTGACCTAGCTGGCTTCCTAGGGATGGCCTGGTAAGTACCTAGATCACCCAGCCCACTAGGGCCCGTCAGAGGCTCAGGCCTGTTCCTGGTCCTACAGTGGCGGTCAGGAAATCGGTACATTAGCATTCATTTCGCTCACAGGGGAGCCTGTGTCATTGGTACAGCTGGATGCCAGCCCATGTGCCAAAGCCTAGAGGAGAGCTGGAGGAGCCTACTTCCTGCCGCTGGATGTGTGGGGGGGGGAGGAGCGGGGGGGGCACATGTGCAGCTGTGTGTCCTGGCTGGTCTGCAGGGGATGGGCTGCAAACTTCATAGTTCTCTAAGGAGCTCTTAAGTCTTTGGGGCACAAAGTGGGTGGGCTTAGGGAATTGGGACTGGGGACAGACCCTTCTGGCCACCTTGTCTTCTCAGTGTTTAAGGGCAATAAAGCTCGATAGAATCACAGGACTGATGCCTTTTGTCCAATTGTTTGTTTTCATGGAAAGCACAGGGACATTTGCAGCGGTAACCTATTTCCCAGATGAGTATATGAGATGCAGAATTCATAAAACATCAGCAATGGAAACAGCAGTTTTTCTCTTAATATTCACTCATCAGATAAAGTTTGAAGGCAACAATGCCAGAAACCCAGGCTTTCCCTTGGGCCCAGGGGCCCAGCATGACCCTTGTCCCAGTGACCCAGGATTGCAGCAGCTGGGGGAGGAACAATGTAGTCTACCATCGTCCGGCACCCAACAGGCCTTGTATAGAACTGCACTGGGCTACTCTAGGGCCCCAGTGCGCAACACCCATGGCCCACACCTATCCAGTGGAGAGAAACGATCTGTGCAACTGAAGGCAGGGATCAGGATGTGGGGAGGAAGGGCCTGGACCTTCTCTACTCTTGCTTCTCTCACTGAGAATCTAAATCTGACCATCAGTTTCCTAAGACCTAAGCTGGAAGCTTAGGTCTTAGAAGAGGTGTTCTGACAATGAGGTAGGTCTTCAGCCAGGTTTCCCATGTAATAGAAATGCCCCAAAGGATGGTCCTGGGTTGCCTTTTAGAGAGTTCTACCAAATGTCAGCCATAATCTGGGCTAAGACCCCAGAGCCCTGGACCTTGGGGAATAAGGCATGTAACACCACCACTCTGGACCCTATATAGAGAGGGTATGGAGAGGGTTAGGGCTTTTCTGTCCTTGTTATATGAATTGTCCAGGTGGCAATGCAAAGCTCAGCTGCTTCCTCTAGTGGCCAGTTCATAGCATCCCAGCTCTCTGCCGGGACCCACAGATAACTACAAGGGAAGAAGAGCGTGTGTATGGCACTCCACCCTTCTCTCTGTAAGAAAGTGGAAGACAGGGGCCAGGGTCTCGGCGTGGATGTGCCTGAGCTCATCTCCCTCCTGAAATAACCTTTAAGGGTCCTAGGAGAGCCTTCTTGTCATTTAATGCGAGGCAGCCAGGAGAGTTAAGGACATTTATTTCACATTCACACGGCTGTACATTTTCTATAAATAATTGGAGCTGGACTATTTACAATCATCTACCCCCAGTACGTCTCTCCCTTCTGGCATCCGATACCAGGGGGCAATGCCTGCACACAATCATGTCCATTGACCCGGAGCCACCCCCCCGCCCCGCCCCGGCTCTTGAACAGATCAGATGGCGATGCCTGGGACTCCACTACCCCAACCACTGTCCTCTGTGGCAATGGCAGGCAGACGGTAGAAATCACTGCTGAAGGGTGGGATGGGGGCAGGTGGCAGCAGCGCCTCGGGCCACAGCTTAAAAATGCAGAATGAAGCTGGGGGCTGCCACTTAACTCTGCCGGCCTGGCCCATTCCTCCCTTTCCCTGCTCACCTACGTCCAGAAGGGCAGGCTGCTAAGTTTCCTATCTACCTCAAAGTAGCGCTGCCCCAGGCGACCTTGTGCCAGACCACAGAGGATGGCAAGCAGACTCCTGCACTGGAGGGTAGAATGCCAAGGGCAAGGAACCGCAACACAAACGAACATCTCAAAGACACGCAATGGTGGGCTCATACCAGCCCAACAGATACACATTCTTCTCTCAAGCCCTGAGAGTAGGCTGGTCTAGGAGAGGGGAAAGGTAGAAGGGACTAGCTTAGCTCTGTGACGGACAAGCACAAAGACACACCTGAAGACATAACCAGCTAAGCCACAGGAGGGGCCTGCAGAGAACACGCACACACCATCCCCTTCTCAGTCACAGCAGCTTCGTGCACTTGGGAGCAGCAAAAGGCCAGGGGAGGCCCGTGGGCGGGGTCAGCTGCAGGATCGTCTCCATCAGCTAGACACGGGCCGGGGTGGGGTTCTGAGATCCTCTTCACTGCTACGAACTGCAGCCACATACGAGAAGAGACACAACACAGAGTAGCAGATCTCGTGGGCCTGAAAGGGAGAGAAAAGCAGACAGCTCAGCCACACTGAGGTTCCCGCACCCTCACGGGTGGCAGGTCTGTCCAGCGGGCCTCCTGCTCTAACACCGGGCATAGGCCTCTGGGCTAAAAAGAGCCTCAAACAAGTCCCTAGAAGCTGTTCCAGTCAGAGAAGGGATGAGTATGTGTGTCTGTCTCCCAGGGTGGGCGACTTGCTTTGACTGCATCTAGACCAGGTCCCCGTGAGGGCCCGCCCCTCCTCACGTCTGAAGGTCCCCCGGGAGCCCTGTGCACGTTGGCCTGTCAGGGTTGGGCGGCATACTCACCATTGGTGTCTTGTACTTGTGGCTCACCACTTCTTTAATTTCAGGAACTAAAACCGGACGGGCAAGAGACAAAACAGAAAGTTCAAAACTAAGAGCAACTGGGCCATACTCCCCCAGGCGGCAGCGCCCGGCACCAGGGTCCCCTCTCCCTCTGTGGCCTCTCACAGTGGCTGCAGCAGCTTAGACTCTGAGGGCACAGAGGCCGGCCTCCTCCAGCCAGACTCCTCAGTTAGGCCTCGGAAGTCTGCAGTGGCTCTTTGGATGGTTATTTCTATTTGCTTCTGTGGACGCCCCAGGCGGGAGGGGCTAACCTTTCTCCAGCCTGGTCACAGCTACTGTCCAGAGTCTTCGAGGAGAGGCAGCGGGGGAAGACAGAGGTCTCTAGCCTGTGCCTCACCTTGCAGAGATGCCCGTGAACTCATCCCTGTCTCCAGCCCACAACACGATTCCCTCCACCGCCAGCCCCTGAACAGGGGGTGGTGAAGGGGGATGAAGGGGTGACATGATACTAAACCCATCAGACTTGAGTGTCCTTCCCTGAGTGGCAGGAGAAGCTGAGGCCTGCCTGTGTGAGGGAGAGCGTCAGAGGGCTCTGGAGCAGACACACGGAGCAGGAGACAGGCAAGTACAGCACCCGGGGAGCGAGGTGATGGGGAGCATCAGGCAAATACACACATATCCACAGCCCAGAATGCAAGACCAGTAGTCACCCCTGCCCAGCCATGCGGGGGCTCTGCCCGGCCAGAGGAAGGAGTAAGACCCCCTCAAGCCCAGCCATTGCTGTGCCTCTGGGAGCCTGGGAGAAGGGGTGCGGTACCCTCTGGGGGCCAGAAAAGCTAGGATGAGAGCTGGCCACACCTTCTTCTGACCCTGGGAGGTAGAATCTGGGGTATCCCAGGGTTAGCAGAGAATAAACTCATCAAAGGCAGAGTGAGAAGCCCCAGGTCCTTCTTCTGAGTTGGAAGAGTCCCCCAAATATCTCTCAGGCAGAAGAGAGAAGGGAGCACATGGGGTAGAGAACTTGGAACCGGGAAGCCAGCACGGGGTGGGGTGGGGGGGGCGTGTTGGGAAGGAAGAGGGAGAGAAAGGATGTGCACAGCTGGTTTGGATGAAGGGAGCCGCCCACCCACGGTAGGGCCCGAGGCAGGGGCCTGGGGAGAGGCAGCACGAGCCGAGCTGAGGTCACTTTACCTGCTGGAGAACGAAGGTTTTCATAGCAGCGATGAGGGGCACAAAAGAATGAAGCACAAACACAGCAGGAACTCAAAGCCCCAGGGTGAGACCCCACTACGCTGCTCCTTAGCGCTTGCTTTCACAGACACCTGCCTTTCTGCCTCTGAGGTTCACTAGGCTTCTTTGGCCTCCAGCAGGGGGGCCCCTGGTGCCCCATGCTCTCCTCTAGCACAGAGGCTGGGCAGAGCCCAGAGCAGTGCCAGGGAGGAGTGCTGAGCTACTAGAGAGATGGCAGCAGGCAACATGGACGCAGCAGAGCTGGGCACTGCTAGTATGCTCTGCCCCAGAACTTTCTGACCAATGGCTGGCTGAACAAGGGAAGGTGGTGCTACTTCACTGGGCCTCTTCAGTGCTGTGTCTAGACTTGAAACTCATCCAAGGCCCCTCACTCTTGTATGGCCCTGTTCGGTCTCACCCTGCTTCTTCCTTTCTCTTCTCCAGGCTCCTTTTCCTCCCTGTCACTCCTGCTCCTCCTCACCACTCTGCAGAGGTTCTTCTTCTTCTTTTATCTTTTTCCCTGCCCCTAGTCCCTTCTCTGGAACTCCAAGGTTTGAGTTACTGCCATGTGAGTCCAGACCTAAGAGCAAAATAGTGTAATTACCAAATTCCTCCAGGACAAAGACGCCTCGAACTGTATTGCACTTTTTAATGTGATTCAGCTCTATGAAAACCTGCAAGAGAGGGAGGGAGGGTGGGGTAAGGCCCAGAGGCTCCACCCCTGCCCCACAAAGCCCATTTCCCCCAGCTCGAGCCCCACCCCCACAGGAAACCTAGTTCCGAAGGGAAGACAGAAGAATCCACGCACACACAACCAAAAGCGCTAAGAAGCGAAGAAAGCAGAAAGGGCAAGTACCTTCCGCTCCTGGCCGGAGGAGAAAGCATGGGAGAGAAATGAAGGCGTTAGTTTTAATGGTCCAACTCAACCCGAAGGCCCCCTCTGCTGGCCTGGGCTGCCCACCCGTACCCTCTGCTCAGGGCAGCACTCATAGGACACAGTGCTCCAGGGGTCCCCGACTCAGCCCGTCAGGTCTCTACCCTTCCATACATCCTCCTCCGGCGCAGAGGGCTGGCACGGTGCAAAGCTCCCCTCAGACTGTCCTTGGGGTGGGAAGTGATGGTATCTTCCTTGGCACAGGATCTAGAACCTCCCAAGAAGTGTGTGGTCATAGTGTCAGTGGCTCCCACCTGCTGAGCGCTCACTTTGGAATGTCACAAACGTTACTGGGTGGCTTACACCTACGTGGCATAGTCTGCAGTGCTACCCCATTTGACAGATGGGGAAACAGGATCAGAAAGTTACTGTGCAAGCACATCCTCACTCCAAGTTGGTGCTATTCCCATCTGCAACCACAGACTCTACGACTCTGCAGGAAGGGGCCAGAGCTTTCCTCCCCATCAACAGCCTGTCATGTGGCAGAAGACAGGCCATAAGCCATTGCCCATTATGTCAGACCATGAGGTGAGCCAAGAAGGCAGTCCTCATGTCTGCTGTCTGTACAATGCCTCTCCTAGGGGCCAAGTTCCCATGTGAGCAGCTTGCACACGAATCAGAGAACACAGGGGTCCTGGGGAGAAGGAGGGATGCCCAAGGACAGGACAGGGCAGAGTGTCTTGCATGGCTTAACAATAGTTCATCTTCAGCCTGGCGCTGGTGGCTCACGCCTGTAATCCTAGCTACTCAGGAGGCTGAGATCTGAGGATCGCGGTTCAAAGCCAGCCCGGGCAGGAGAGACCGTGAGACTCCTATCTCCAATAAAACCACCAGAAAACCAGAAGTGGTGCTGTAGCTCAAGTGGTAGAGCGCTGGTCTTGAGCTGAAGAGCTGAGGGACAGCGCCCAGGCCCAGAGTTCAAGCCCCACGACCGACAAAAAAAAAACAAACAATAGTTCATCTTCAGAAAGAGGGGCCACAGCACTGAAATGGAGTCAGCCAGCATTTTCATGGTCCAGAAAAGTGCTTAAGAACCCCTGCTTGGGCCCCAAGACCCTCCAGTTTTCAGAGGTTTGTTGCTATCCTAGGCCCCAGCCTGGAAATACACTAAAGGCTGCTAGGAAGATGGACAGTTGTCACACCAAAGCTTGCCCAGTTTGATTCCTAAAAGAAGGAGAGCTAAACTTATGAGTGGAGGGAGAGAGCCCCATCTGAGTGACATGTCTGATTCCCCTGTTTCTGCTACCTGGCCAGGGGCTGCAGGGTGTCACATTGGGACCAGGCTCAGAGCCTCAGGGTGAGGAGCTGGGACACGAGGGAAGGGGAAGAAAGGCACTTGTGTGAAGAGTCAGAGCCGGGAACGGACCTGGGATGATGCGCTGGCCTCAGAGGGAAATAGCTTAAGGAATGTCCACTGAGAGAAAAAGTAACACTGTGTTAAAAGACCAGGAGGGAGAAAAAAGTCAGCTCCTAGGGTGGAATCACAGTAAGGAAAAGATGATCCTGAAGTGCTCCCCATCAAAAGAAGGGGTACTGGGCCGGTGGAGCAGCGCACAAAGTAGGAACACACAAAAGAAGAGAAAGAACAGGAAGAAGAATCAGCAGAAGGAAAAGGCGAATAAACACACACACTCTACGAGGGCAGAAACAAGCTGCACAGTACACACACATACACATGTGCATGTGCACACACACACACACACCACACACACACACACACACTAGAAATGTGAGGAGATCAGCCAGTCTAGATTCTCAATGCAAAACCACAAGCGAAGCACACCCTGGGAATATAGGAAGGCAAAGACACGAAAAGAGGGGCCAAATGAGACGCTCCCACTCACACTGTGGGTCTAACAGACTGGCGGCAGAGCCACCAGGTCTCACTCTCTTTCCCGGCACCCACTGCAGGCTCCTTGCTGTGCCTTCACAGAGCCTGCTGGTCTCGCCAAGGTCACTGTCCCCTCCCCTCTGATTTCTCTCTCAGTCCAGCTGTCTACTTCTCCCTCGGACCCAAGGCTGTCCCTCATGTTCACTGGGAAAGCACTGAGGGCTTGGAAACTGATCCTTATTACAAGTGATCAAACAGGGCCATGAAGCCTTGTGCTGCTTATGCCTACCTGGTTGTGCATGAACTTGAGATTGATCCCTTCCAAGGTGACCTGCAGCAAGCCACCCTCTCCAGTCTTCATGTCCTGCACAGGGAACTCGCCACCTAGTTCAGGCCCTGTGGTGAGGGAGGAAGTGATCAGCTAACTGGTGAGGTGGAGATCCCACAGCCTGGCTTCCTGGAGGCCTCTGGCATTGAGAAGGGGGCCATTTCTCCTCACCGGGTTTGATGCTTTGCTGCCGGGCAGCAGCACGCTCCATGCTGTCCTTCACACAGTAGTACAGCTCCCGACACTGCAGCACAGGGGAGGGAGAGAACTGTCCTGTCACAGCAGCCTCCACGGCACCCCTAACCCCTGCTCTAGGATGGCTGCACAAGGTCAAGCCGACACCAGGACTCAGAGACAGCTGGAGGTGTCATATATAACAACTGGAGGCCAAAGAGTGGTTCCAGATGTGTCTTTTGGAATTTGAACCCAACACTTGGCCTCTGATCCCTATTGAGGGTCCAATTTCCAACCCAGAGATCCTAAGTACCTTCTTAGTGTAGAACTTGTTGAGCTGAGTCTCAGAGCCATTTCTACGCCACAAGCACAAGACCTTGGTCTTGGGACAGTAGGTCATGTTGATGAGCTTCTCATACCACCAGCGCTCATATACCGTCCCAATGTTGCTACGCAACACCACACAGTCATCACATACCTAGGGAAGCATGTACAAGGCAGTCAGTGGTCCTGGCCTGTGAAAGCCTCTTGCATCCAACCTCCCACTAACTACACACATCCCACAGGGTAAAGGTAGCACAACTGGCACAACATGGTCACATCTTCTGCCTTCTACTCATGGTCTCCAGGTAGAGACACAAACCCAGAACTAATGGACATGCTGTCTATAAAAGGACTGAGGAAAGAAGCAGTCATTGAAAGGAGGCTGTGTACAATGAGGGAGGCTCAGTCTCTCAGCAGAATGGCATGTGCTGCCTCCTACATATTCCTACATACTCCCCCCACTGAAGTTGTCTGATTCCCAAAGCACTAAGACATCAGACAATCATGTTTAAGAATCAGCTTTGACAAATTCAAAAGCAGGGATTATGGCAGACATAATCAAGAAGGGAGGAAAAAAGGAAGAGGGATAAGTTCTAATCCTGACTGTCCTGTTGCTATAAAAAATTAAAAAAAATTAATTACACAAGTGACACATAAACAATGCTTATTGAATAAAAATTACTCAATACAGAATGACACGTTAAAAAGCAATCTGCCAGCCAGGCAGCGGTAGCTCAGCCTCTCAGGAGGCTGAGATCTGAGGTTTGTGGTCTGCAGCCACCCCAGGCAAGAAAGTCCTTAAGACTCTTATCTCTAGCCACCAAAAAGCCAGAAGCAGAACTGTGGTTCAAGTGGTAGAGTATTAGACTTGAGGCAGTACCCAGCCCTGAATTCAAGCTCCAGGACACACACACACATACACACAAACACACACACACACACACACACATACACATAAGCAGCAAATGTACAACCCAATTTTTATATTGCTATTATTATTACTGCAATATTGAGGTTTACGTGTTTGTTTTTTGTCAGTCGTGGGGCTTGAACTCTGGGCCTGAGCGCTGTCCCTCAGCTCTTGAGCTCAAGGCGAGTGCTCTACCATTGAGCTACAGCGCCACTTCCAGTTTCTGGTGGTTTATTGGAGATAAGAGTTTCATGGACTTTCCTGCCTGGGCTGGCTTTGAACCGTGATCCTCAGATCTCAGCCTCCTGAGTAACTAGGATTACAGGCGTGAGCCACCAGTGCCCGGCAATACTGAGGTTTAAATTGAGGACTTTCTAGGCAGGTGCTTTTCCACTTGAGCCATGTGCCTACCACCCCCTTTTCATACTGGTTGTTTTTGAGACAGGGTCTCAAAAATGCCTGAGCTGATCTGTACTGCAATCCTCCTATTTGTGTTTTCTTTTGTGTGTGTGTTGCCAGTCCTAGGGCTTGAACTCAGGGCCTGGGCACTGTCCTTAAGCTTCTTTTTGTTCAAAGCTAGCACTCTACTACTTGAACCACAGTGCCCCTTCTGGCCTTTTCTGTTTATGTGGTACTGGGGAATGAAACCTAGGCCCTCATGCATGCTAGGCAAACACTCTATCACTAAGCCACACTCCTAGCCCATGCTTTCCTTTGTTGGTGGGACAACACACACACACCACTGTACTCAGCCACTGGTTGAGATGGAGCTTTGTAAACTCCTATGCTCTGGTGGGCCTCAAACCACAGTCTTCCCATGTCTACCTCCTAAGTAACTAGAATTACAAGCCTGAGCCACCATGCTGGATTTCATAACCTCTTCTTGTTCAACAGTCTCCCTCAAGTGAACTGACCTGCTCTGATGGTTTTAATTATTGTGGGGACGTTAACAGCATGCTAGGTAAAAGGATGGCTGTGATCAAACTTCCTAGGCTTAGATTCTGGTTTTACCATTACCTAGCTGCATCACGTTGAGTAAGTTCTTTTATCTAAATTTCCTCATGTGTTTGGTGAAGATCATAACTAATAAAATTATTAGGAAGATTAAATGAGTTAGCTCCGTGGCACAGTGCTTGACAACTGGCACTGAAAAACAAACACAAAATAAAACCGAAAACCAAAAAACCATCCAGATATATAGAAAATAACCATTCTTTATTACATCAACGTGATGTAAGAAATATGATCACTATCATTACGCTGATAGTTCTTCAATCTTCCTCCATACAAGCCCTCATCATGCTCAATGTTCCAATTTCTTTTCCTGGCTGTCTCACATATACCACCTGAGACCCACTTGTCCCAACAGTCTCTCAAATTTCCCTATTGGAGTAAATGTTAGTGAAGACCACTCTTCCAGCTGCCCAAGCCAGAAATGGAGGAGGAATGCCTGATCCCTTCCTTTTTTTCTGTACCTATATCCATTGAGTCACACCAGGCCTACCTCAAATATCCCTGGACTGCCCTTCCCTTCCTTCACTCCAATCATATCTCTATTCTTCTTTCAAGCTCAAAGATCACTTCTTCAGAAGGCTGACTGTCAACTCCCAGACCTTCTGCTATGTACCTCTATGCCTCTAGTTCCCTAAACATCTCTCAATAATGCTCACTGTATTTTATGACTTCTGATTTCTTCAGTTGCTTGTCAACTCTAGAAGAGTAACTAGAGCCATGCCAGTCATACTCACTGTTATAATCAATACATCCAAACAAATGCCTGGCATGTGATATATATGAAAACATATTGATAATTTTTAGTGATCAAACAAGGAGCATAGGGGCTGGGAAGGTGGCTCAGTGGTAGAGCGCTTGCCTTGCATGCCTGAGGCCCTGGGTTCGATTCCTCAGCACCACATAAGCAAAAAGAAAAGCCGGAAGTGGTGCTGTGGCTCAAGTGGTAGAGCGCTAGCCTTGAGCTGAAGAGCTGAGGGACAGCGCCCAGGCCCAGAGTTCAGGCCCCACTACTGGACCCAAAACAAAAACAAAAACAAGGAGCATAAAAAATGATCAGATTTAAGATATAAGAAATCACTGGAGAAAAAAAAACAAATGGGAAGGAGAGCAGGAGGGAGGAAAGGAGGGAAAAAAGAAGAAAAAGAGGGAGGGAAAAAGCCAATCCAAGTATGGTGGAGTAAGCCTGTAGTCTCGGCACTCAAGAGGCTGAGAGAAGAAAATGGCTTGAACCCACAAGTTCAGGGCTAGCCAGACAACCCAGTAAGATTCTGCCTCAAAAAAAAAAAAAAATTAAACGTGAGAAGTGGTAATGGAGAGATTGTGATTGCTATAGTTCAAAATAGCAGAGTAGGAATTAGAAACTTGAGTTCTAGCCCTGTCTGGCACTGTGGTTGTCTCCAAGTAGAAAAATAACACAATAGTATTTTTCTACCATTCACAATACTTTAAGATCATCATGTAAAACTAAGGGGCAGAGTCAGGAGAATGTCTACACCACAGAAATGATGGCAATGATGTGTCACACTGCCTGTGTTGCTTAGGGGAGGTAAAACTGATATGGTATAGTCTTTGGGAAGGCAAATTTTGACCATATATAATCTTGGTCTGGAAATTTCATGTCTAGGAATATATCTTGTAGAAAAATCTCATGTGAGTATGCAACGATAAAGATGTACAGCCAAGGATATTCAATGAAGCAATGTTCATATTTATTTTTGTCGGTTGTGGGGCCTGAACTCTGAGCCTGGGTGCTAGCTGTCCCTTAGCTCTTCAACTCAAGGCTGGCTAGTGCTTTACCACTTGAGCCACAGCACCACTTCCCCTTTTTCTGCTTATGTGGTACTAAGGAATCAAAACCAAGGCCCCATGCATGCTAGGCAAGCACTCTACCACTGAGCCACATTCCCAGCCCTGCACCAAACTTAGTTCTTCAGCTGAAGGCAAGAACTCTACCACTTGAGTCACAGCGCCACTTCCATTTTTCCGGTGGTTAATTGGAGATAAGAGTTTCACAGACTTTCCTGCCTGGGCTGGCTTTGAACCGTGATCCTCAGCTCTCAGCCTCCTGAGTAGCTAGGATTATAGGCGTGAACAACCTGAACCTGGCTGCACAAACTTTTATTTTTTGCACAAACTTTTAAAAAGTGGTTTCAGAGAAAAAAAGTTTACACTTTTTTTACTTTTCTTTTTTCCAATTGAAGCTAAGGCCTTGTGTACTTTACCACGTAGCTATACCTCTAGCCCTTACTTTTACTTTCCAATAGTTTGAAAACTTTTAAAGCCCAGCAAAGAATGTTAAGATATGAAGGATCACAGCAAAAAGCAGGGTTAAAGGTGTGGCTCAAGTGGTAGAGCCCAGCCTAGCAAGAACAAGGCACTGAGTTAAAAACCCAGTACTTAAAAAAATTAAGTCTTTCCAAATACCTATCTTTTTTGGAATTCACACTTACACACTTACAGGGAAGGGTACAGCCATTTATTATTGAAGTAACTTGGGTCAGGGTTTCCCTTTTTTTTTTTTTTTTGTCAGTCACGGGACTTGAACTCTGAGCTTGGATGCTGTCTCTGAGCTCTTTAGTTCAAGGTGAGCACTCTACCACTTGAGCCACAGCACCACTTTTGGTTTTCTGGTGGTTAATTAGAGCTAAGAGTCTCACAGACTTTCCTGCCTAGCTTGCTTCGAATTGCTATTCTCAGATCTCAGCCTCCTGAGTAGCTAGGATTACAGGTGTGAGCCACTGGCACCCAGCCTTATAATACATTTTTAAAATTGTTATTATATAGGTGAAGTACAGAAGGGTTGCAGTTACGTAACTCAGGTAAAGAATACATTTCTTTTTGGACAATGTCACCCCTTCCCTTGGCTCTCACCCCCACCTGTAAGATGTATAGTTCATTTTTAATGTAGTGTCTAGTGAGCACTACTGCTGCATTTGTCCCTCCATCCATTTCTATGCCCCCTTTTCCCTCCCAAAGAGAGATAAATGAACAAACACCACAAAAAGAAAAGAAAACAAAAATAACGGTGAAGAAATAAACTTCTTGTTCCATTTCCTGGAGTTCATTTTGCTATCTTTTTTTGATTATTGTTTTTTTGTTGTTGTTTTTGGTGCTGGTCCAGGGGCCTGAACTTAGGGCCTGTGCCCTGCCTTGAGCTTTTGTGCTCAAGGCTAGCATTCTACCACTTGAGGCATACCTTTAGTTCCCACTTTTTGTTGGTTAATTGGAGATAAAAATCTCACCAACTGGCTTGGCTGTCTTCAAACTTCGGTCCTCAGATCTCAGCCTTGTAAGTAGCTAGGATTACAGGTGTAAGCCTGTAATCTGGTGCCTGGCTCAAATAGCTACCTTTTAACTGATCTTGTAGCCAGCAGATTATACTCCAATAAAGGGGTTGAGGATATGTTAAGAAGATACTTGAGTCAGATCAACCAAAATTACAAATGCACTGCTCTTCAGAATCCTTACAGAGGCACCTTCAACATACATAAAATTTAGTAGGCATAGTGTCATTAGAGAAAGCACTACTATCAATAGTAAAGAACTTGAATTAACCCAAGGATCCACATGTACTAAGTGAGCAAGTAAATTATGGCATGGTCACACAGTGAGATACAGGTAGCCAGAGAGAAAGACTGGGAAAACTACCAAATGCTGGTGGCTCATGCTTGTAATACTGACTACACACAAGTCTGAGATCTGAGGATTATGGTTCAAAAAACCAGCTGGGGAAAGAAAGTATGTGAGATTCTTATCTCCAATTAATCACCAAATTCCAGAAGTAAAGCTGTAGCTGGAGAAGGAGAGCACCATCTTTGAGCAAAAAATGCTAAGAGACAGTGCCCAGGCACTGAGTGCAAGCTCTAGTACTGACACATACACACAAAAAGAATGGAAAAGCTCTCTGCTCTGTTACAGAGGATAGCTGGATGATGTTTAATGAAAACACAAGGTATAGGCTAGTGAAGAGATGATCCAGTCACACTGTCCATAAGTAAGGACAACTTAAAATAGTATACTGGGAGGTCTTCACTACCTTTCTGTAACAAAGGAGAAAAATAAGAATTTATATTCAGATCTTATTGTTTGCATAAAAACTAACTGGAACATTCAAAGGCAACCAATAAAAGACGTTGTCTATTGGTGAAAGTAAACTATACAATTTGAGGGTGAAGATGGGAGGGACAGAATGGGAGAGAATGAGGAAAGAGATGATACTGAATGAAAGGAAATGTACGTATTACCTGACTCATGCAAATGTAACCCCTCTTACATCACCTCTATAATAACAATAAAGTAAATTTTAAAAAATCCTTTGAAAAACAAACCCCAAAAGAGGTTGTCTATAGGATAAAGGGGAGAGGTGAGCAAGAAACTGAAGTGGAAGTAGCGTTACACTAGAGTTAGCACAGGGCCTTATGGGGTCCTGCTTTATGGACAATAAGATTATATCACTCATTCTACATATATTAAAAATGGGAGCAAGGGAAAGGGTGACACTGTCCAAAAAGGAACGTACTCATTACCTGACTTATGTAACTGTAATCCATCTGTACATCCATTTTATAATAACAATTAAACATTTTAAAGCAAAAAAGGGTGGGGAATCACCTATTATTATTTGCATAATCTCATAATTTAATGACAAGTTGATCATAAAGATACATAAGATAAAATAACTATTCTGGCATTACTTATAAGGATTCCTTGTGTCTCTCAGATGTTCTTTCAGAACCAAGCACCTACCTCCATGAAAAAGATATCTCCATTTGTGTCTGTTCCCGCATGTACCACAAACGTCTGCTTCTTCATGTGCCGGCTACCACTGGACCGGATGGAGAGATCACGTCCATTCTGGGAAAAGAGGTATTTAGGGACATTCATACATCCTTCTTATGTATGGGTTTAGGACAGAAATCCCTGTTCAGCATTAAGTTCATTATCATCCTCAGCACAGTCTTATCTGTCACTGGCCAGTAGGGAAGTATTCAAGGACTCTATGGTTCTTGAGGAGCCTGAGTTTTTGCTTGTGTGCTATATTTATGTTTATTATACTAGAAATCAATACTAATAACATGTCAATTCTTATTAATTTAAAAATAACCCATTAATAATACTCAAATCATGGTAATGTAAGTAATGCGTCTTTTATAAAATATACTTTTTTTGCAATCATGGAACTTGTACTCAGGGTCTGGGCTCTGTCTCTGGGCTCTTTGCTCAAGTCTAGTGCTCTACCACTTTAAGCCACAGCTCCACTTCAGGTTTTCTGGTGGCTAAATGGAGATAAGAGTCTCATGGCCTTTCCTGCTTGTTCTGGTTAAGGTATATGAAGGTATATCAGAACATAAGAGGCAGCTATTTCTTAAAGTTAACTGCAGTTTGGAATCTGAAACACATCAATAAGCACTTTATACTGTCACATCAAAATCCAGTTGTGTCCCTTAAATTTTGAGTTCTTTTATCCAAACTTAATTCCCACCCTCCCCCCTCCAAAAAAATTCAGGTTTGCACATTCTTTTTTTTTCACTTTGGCTGGTGTTCTATCATTTGAACCATGCCTGCCTTTTTGCTCTTTAACTTGATTTTTCTTTTTTTTTGATCGGTCGTAGGGCTTGAACTCTGGGCCTGGGCGCTGTCCCTCAGTTCTTCAGCTCAAGGCGAGCGCTCTACCACTTGAGCTACAGCGCCACTTCCTGCTCTTTAACTTGAGATAAGTTTCTCATCTTAGATTTGTCTTCTGGGCTGGCTTTGAACCATGATCCTCAGGCCTCAACTTCCTTAGTAGCTAGGATTATAGGCATGAACCACAGGTGCACAGCTCCATACTTTAATTTTCATGTCACACACTATACTTGGAAAATACTTCTAAATATTAGCATATCTCATTACATCATATGTAAAATAATATTCATTAACATCAGCTCCAATCTTGTTAGAAACATTTAAAAATATTGGAAAGCTTGCCGGGAGCTGGTGGCTCATGCCTATAATTGTAGCTACTCAGGAGGCTGAGATCTGAGGATCATGGTTCAAAGCAAAGTCCATGAGACTCTTATCTCCAATAAACTACCAGAAAACCGGAAATGGCACTGTGGCTCAAGTGGCAGAGCACTTAGCCTTGAGTTGAAGAGCTGAGGGACAGAGCCCAGGCCCACAGTTCAAGCCCTATGACTGACAAAAACAAATACATATATATATATATATATATATATATATATATAT